TATTCTGAACTGCGTAGAGTCTAGGCTAGATCTCAACCGCTGGTTCAACCGCTCCCGCTGAGTTTTTTTCTCCAAAGTATATATCATTCAAATAAGGGGGGCAAAAACTTATTTTGTAATAAGAGGATTTGTGTAAACTTTTACTAATTGTTTTCTATTTGAAAAAAAGAGAGAAAAAAAATAACAATAAAAAAGTAAAATAGAGTAGTAATTAAACAAATTTCTTTTTACGAAAAGAAAAAGAGAAAAGTTTTAATTCTTTAGAGCTAATTCTATTGGGATTTAACTGTGGAATTCACTCTACTGTTTTCTCAATATTAGAGATGTCAACGTTTTGATTTTTCTAGATTTTAGTAAATGTAGTAAATGTAGTGAAAAAACAGTGAGCTCCGTTACGCTTTTGCATTTCCCGTTTTAAAAAACTTTCCCAACGTTGCGTTAAAGCTTATGTGTATGTGTATGAAATTTCCAAGAAAATGATGTATATTTATTTTTTGCAAGATACAAGACAGGAAAACACTACTAATTTTCAAATCATCAATCAGATAAAAGTTTACACGTTATCATTGGGAATCGAGCATGGCCCTCTTTAAATGGAGGATCACTTGAAATTATCATCGTGTATTTGACGAGCTTAAAAAATAGACATGTTTTTGGACACTTCATAAAATGAGTTAAAATTCGGCAAGGCAAACCACTTTTGCATGTGGAGCAGTTATAGTTCTAAATTATTTTAGATTAGTTTAGGGTTAATTTTTTCTTTTTTTTACGCAATGCAGACTGACCCTTTTCTTCTATCTAACAGAATTCATAGTTTAAAATATCTAAGGTCTACAACATTGGGTAGCAAAGATATCGGGATTAGAAATATAAGTTTGTGAACAACTCAATTCCTTTAGATATTCTTATCTAACAGAAGTCATAGCTTGAAATATCAAAAGTCTACAACACCAGCTTGCAAAGATGTAGAGATTAGAAAATTATAATTTGTGGCGAAATTTTAGTTATTTTTGTGTGTTTATTTATGTTACTTACAAAGTGAGTAAAAAAGCGGCAAATGTTTTCAGAGTTCATGTTTGCGGTTTTAAAAAATCAAATATAGTAAGACAAGTGCTAAATTTTGTTTTAACATAAACAACGCGAAATAAAATTATTTAACATTTTTTTCTTTAAAAAAAAAAACGATTAAAAAATCAGTTTTTTTCTATTCTAAAGTTTCATAAAAATCTATTGATGAATAAAACATAATTGCATTTTCCAATTGATAAAATATTGTTGCATTTTAGTAAGTATCTACATTTCTAAATTTTTCAACCTAAAACATGAACCATGCCAACTGAAGTTATGATTTCAAGTAGTCAAATAAATATGAAACCCAGCAATTGTGTTTGTTCACAGACCCGTTCCACTTAAGTTGATTTTTTTACAATTAGTAAATCATTTGCTTTATAACAGAAAATGCATATGTAAAATTTCTTAATGTCGTCTTCCTTCTTCAGAGTTTTAGTGGGTTTCATCAAACAAGATGTTCAAGAAACATTTATAAGATTTGAATTTTTACTAATAGCATGTTAAAAAAAACTCGTTTACACTTTAGTTTTTTTCAAATTTACTAATCCCTATATCTTTCCAACCCGATGGTTTAAACCTTGTATATTACGATATTAATGGTCTACAACATCGGGTTGCAAAGATATATTAAATGAAAATAAGAGTTTTTGGCATAAACTCATTTTTTTGAACTTGAAATGAAAAACCATAAGTTTTTGCTCTTATAATCATCAGTCGAATCTCTTACATTGATATATTAGAGACGTTTTGAAATGTTTTGATTGACAGAATTATTGTTACACTTTTGAAATTAAAACTCAGCCCTCATAGTCTAACGTTTTATGAACAACATTTTCATCAGACATATATCTAACGTTAGACTAATCAATTTAGCATTCAGAGAAAAGTTATGAAAAGTTTTGATTTACAGAATTACATTTTTTTAAATGTTATACGTTACATTATTGAAATTTTACTCTGTAAAAAAAACTTTCGTTTCCTGATTATTAAAATAATAACCCATCTCTGCAACGTTGAATTTTTCATTATACTGTAAGGGAAAACGTTTCAAAACGTTTTCATAAACAGTAATTCATTTTTCAGTGTAACGTTGTTTACACTTTATATAAGTTGAACTTTGAAATAGAAATCCTTTCGTTACGATATTCAATCAAATCACAATTCATTTTTCAAACCTTAGACTTTCAAGCTTCCCTTGGAAATAAAACATTTCTTTACGTTATGGTCAAAAAAGTTGTAGATATTAGAAAAATAACGTTACATTTCCACAAAACGCTAACGTTGGGGGTATATTCCTCTAACGTTAACGTTAGGTATGAGCTCCTATAACATTAATGTTTAACGTTCACGTTATATAGAATATATCCAAACGTTACACATTATTGTAACGTAACGTAAAAAAAACGTTCATTTTACGTTACGTTCCACTATCATTGACATCTCTACTCAATATACTGTAACGGGAACCAAAGGTTCAAATGTTATTTTTTCCATGTTTCAATACAAAAAGTCTTTTTAGGTTATGGTAGATTTTAATTTCCAAGAAATTTAGAGACTTGTCACAAGTTCAGGTTCTTCTGAAGTTTCCAATTCTTTCATAATTTCCCTGAAAAATACAAATATTCAATCTTTGTTAAGGCTCATACTCACACTCATTTCATGAAAAAAGATTGGTGAAAATATCATAATACTTTAAAAAAAGTTAAGACACATACATTGAGAACTAAAAAACCAAATTCATAAAATAGTTGTAAATAGCAAAATTTCAAACAAAATAATCAACAAAAGTCACCATTTTTTTATAAATCATTTGTTCTTTTTTCGTTTTCTTTCATTGACGATTTCAAATTAACAGTTTTTGCCGTTCCTCAACAGAATCTTCAATTAATTTGCCAAAACTTGCCATTCAAGAACTGATTGACCCTGCAATACATGGCTCATCTACTTCTTTGCTATTCATTAAGTCTAGTTCAAGAGAGATATAAAATAAACTATATATATCCTTGAATAGGTTTGCATTTCGAAATTCTTTCTTTTTAAATCCTAACTCTTTTTTTGTATTAATTGGTTTGCTTATTTTGTTTTAAATGGCTTCTATCAAAGATTACCCCAAGAAAGACTGGGGGGTCTAAATCTATGTTTAGACTGATAACTTTAATACTTTTGGTGCTAGGAATAGTTGAAAAAATGCCAAGAAAAAATGGTAAAAAAATGTATAAAATATTTTTTTGATTTTAATAAATATTAAGATGTGACACATGTTTCTACATCCATTTTTCTAGGGCTTTTAAAAATATAGTTTTTAGATCTGTAGCTTTAGTCACAAAATAAGACCATATTGACACTCTGTTAATGGCCTTAAGGTGTACAATATTCTTAAAGCTTTCTTTATTGCTCCTCAGTTTCAAAAATGAATCTATAAAAATGCCACATGAAGCGCTAAAAATAAAATTATGTTTTTGAACCTTTGCGCATGCGCTCTCCTCAATTAGCAACGAAGCGCTAGATATAATTAGTGAACTTAATCCTTCATTTTTACTAGTGGGTGGGATAAGACCAATTTTTCTAAATTTTTGTTCTTTCAATGCATGTAATTAGTTTTGTTGTACAAAAATGTAATCACTGTAAAGTATTATGAAAATATCTTCTAAATGGAGATAGATATTACTTTGGGTGGGGTAAGGTAATTTTTAGTAAACAGGCAGCCCAACCTTTTAGTGTCTTAACTCCAATCATGAAATGCAGACATTAAATTGGCAAATTTGATCTAAGATTCATAATTTTTTTCTAGCTCTTCATTTGGCATACTTATAGATTTATTTTCAAAACTCAGTTGCCTTATTGACTTCAAAGAGAAAGGACCTATCTTATATGGGTCCCAGCCTTGTCCCAGCCCCTTCCCCCTTCTAAAATTATTCTACCCTACGTAGAAACCCTAGAACAGTATGCACTGCACCACACATAAGATATGTTGAGTCAAGACATTCCTAGATCAGAAAAAATATTAAAAACTGCAACCACATCTGATATCTACTCCTGACAAACAGTAACTTTCTTTAATACTTATATTGATATTTCTGGCGCCAAGATATCAAATCAAAGAATAGTATGAATCAGAAATATTTGTCAAAATGCATAATTCCCTTGTCTACAAGGGATAAGAATGCGTAGATCTAAAAGAGAAGAACAGAAAACAGATGTGTGACCAGATAAAAAAAGATTCAATTCAGAGTTTAGAAAAAAGAAAGCAAGATACTCAGCAATTTCTAATTGACAGCTCAGAAAAAAAGCAAGATCATTTAAAAATAGTTCTTACTTGTAACATGGCAAACTACAAGGACATTCAACAAAATTCTTTCTTTTTATTTTCAAAATTAACCGAAGTATGATTGAAGGATGGACCAACAAGAAAAAATGAAGAACAAGAAATATAGAAATCTCAAATATATCCATCCGATATCAAATGAATATTTTAAAATATTGTAAAATTTAAATAAAATAAATTATTAAAGTTAAAAATTTTTCAAAACTGAGGAGCAATAAAAAAGTTTTAAGGATATTGTACATCATAGGACCAATAACAGAGGTCAACATGGTCTTATTTCTAAGAAATAAACGGTTTATTGTTAACTTTTTTGATTTCTGATTACCAATTAATGAGCACAACACATGTTTGGGTGGCGTTTGTTTATTTCTGCACTCCCCCCCTCGTTCCAGGGTTGGCGGGACTTTTGTGTGAAGATTCCATACCCATAACTAACATTTTAAAATAGTAAAAAACTTATAGTACACAGATGCAAAAATTATGAAGTGTTTTGAAGATGCAGTATGAAAATTAAAGACAACCCAAAACAAACTAAAAATAATTACGAAAATCATTATTAGGAAAATGCGTATAAAAACAAATATCTATTTCATTATAAACTGTCATATCATGAATAAATGGTATTTTGTATTTAAAAACACTCGCTTCTTGAACTGCAGCTTTAACTTTTGAGAAATGTAACCAAAGAGGCGATTGTTGCTTAGGCATGTTTTTTTTGTTCACCTGTATTTATTGTCTAATGCCTGAATGCCATCATTAGGATAGAAATGCCACCAATAACAAAAACTAAATAATTTGGAAATTTTGAGGGAGTTAAATATTTGTATGACTAGTTTCTACCTGGAATTAATTGTGATTAAAAGTTTTTGCAACCCCTTTTCCCTTCCCGTAGTTTTTTTTCAGAAATAATAATTAGATTTTTCAATCTGTCACCTAACCTTTCTATAAAAATTACATTTAAAAATTTCTTTTTTAATCAAAGAATTACTGGAAGGCTGGTGGGCGACCAAAAAGTCTGAGATATAACAAATTTTTTAATTGTAAAGGAGAACTTGAATTGTGTGTTACATGTTTGTCAATTATGTAAAGAAGTATTATTGTCTAATTTGTACAATGTACTGGTTGCTAATCATTATCCCATTTTGACCAACATTACAGAAAAACTATTCCCTAACAGCGAGATGTTCACGCAAAATTATCAAAATATCAAATGCCTAATTATGGAGTTCAAACACAGTACGTTTCAATTAGGTCTACTAGCTAGAAATGTAAACAAACCAGAGAATAATCATAACAACGGATCGTACTGCATTGTTCATCTCAAAACTGGTTAAATGTCAACAACAAAGAGAAATCAAAGAGGAGACATAAGAGATAAGGGATGAGAAGAAAAGAGATATGAGAACAGAAGAGTAGACAAGCGAAGAAAAGAAAAGATAAGAAAAAAGAGAAGAAAAAAGAAGAGAAGAAAAAAGAAGAGCAGAAAGGAGAACAGAAGAAAATAGAAGAGAAGATTAGAAAATAGAAGAGAAGAGAAAGAAGAATATATAGACTGTGTAAAAGAATAACTTAAACTTTAAATTAACCTTATTGTAAAATTGTATGATATTTTTGAAGGAAAAAGTAGTTGTCCTAACTGTTTAGCGTACACTATTTTGATCATTTTAAGATTTTTGATCATTTGGCATTTGATAATATGACATTTTTGACAAATTGTTAACTGTGTCTTGAAATAATTATGTCAAATAAGATTTTCCTCTGCGAAGTTTATGTGGAAAATTATTGCATTTTCAGATCAATGCACAATAAATTTGAGTAGAAACTACTTCACAGGGAAATTAAAATTTCTACTTAACTATGGGTTGCCAAGAAAACATTCTGGATAAATTTGGTTTAAGTAAAATAAAATTCCCTTGACTTCCCTGTACTTTTAAATTTCTTAACCATTTTCCTTCACCTTAAAAGTCTCTTTTTATTGCAATTGTCGAAACTTCTGGTTCCTTTCCAACAATCTTCATTGTGTCTTCTTAAATAAGATATTCATTACACAATTAGTGCCATGCAATTAAGTTCTTAATCTAAAAACTGACAGTCTAGCTTAGATTTATAAAGGAATGGAGTTATTGCAACATATTCAAATTTTGTAATTCCTATATCTTTTTAACCTAAAGGTTCAAACATTTAATATTTCAAAATTAGCTTATTTGAATTAACAGAATTCATAGTTTGAAATATTTTAGGGTTGCAGAAATATAGGGTTTCATAAATTAGAGTTTTAGAAAAAAATATCTCATTTCCTTGTGGTTTTAAATTGTCCCATTGCTGTTAATAGTGGCTTAATTGTGAGTTTTTTATGAAATACATACTAGTAGCTAAAGAGAATGAAAGAAATGAAAGCATTACAATTTCGTTGGCAGATATAGTTGTGTGTTCTTTTTGAGAAATTACTACTGCAAAACTTTATGCTTCTTTTTTGCAGAATTTAAAGTATTATTAAAAAGTTCTTGCAAATGGAACTGAGTTCTTCCAACAAACTTTGATTTTTTAATCCTTCTTATGTTATATCTTTGCAATCTAGTGTTATAGACCTTTGATTTTTCAAGCTATAAATTTTGTTAGATCAAATTGTTTGAAATATCAAAGATTTATACTATCAGTCCCCGAATTCATGAATTTAAGCTGTGGCTTAAATCTGACAAAAACCAGTTTCAATTAAGGGCCCGGCTTAAATCTTGAAAAATTGAATATAATTTTAAGTNGCTTCTGAAACCCAAACTGAAGTTCATCTGTGGTCAGCTTATCAGAGTTTAGAATTAATATCAACCAGTCAAACCATTTTAGAATCAAGCTGCCAATGGCAATTGCCCTGTAATTGTCACTGATAGCAATGTCATCTAAGTTGTCCTTCACTATGGGCACTAATGTTCACAGTAGTAAAAAAGCAGGAATTTAGCCTGTAGCCAAAAACCATTTACATAGGGTGGTCACATGATCTATTAACTTGTTAGATGCATTCATTAAGCAGTCAGAGCTGAAGTTAAATAATGCATCACTTTTCATTATTCATATTTGAACCACAGCTTAAATGTAAGCAGCAGCTCAAATTCTTAAAATTCGGCCTCAGGTTGCAAAGAAATTTTGAGTTTGAGGCAAGAACTTATTTCCTTTCTAGGCCTATATTACCTTTGAGAGTCTGGAGATAGACCAACAGTTTTCCAGAGAATATTTTTGCTTGGTAAACTGCATAAACCAGAGTCAAGTATTCCTCTACTCACCTGCATTTGATTAAAGCAATTATCTTAAAGGAAGTGCTTCCGAAGTATAATGAAAGCCCAAATCTAATCAAATCTAATCTTTTTAAAAGAACTATAGGAAAAACTATCATTTTTTGTTCCATTTGTATTTTTTTCTAAAAACAATCATTTCGTTTTTGAAAAAAGCGCTAGTTTTTTAAAGCAAATCCCTCGTTTTGAACTTTCAAAAACGAAAAAATTATTGTTTTTTTTTTTTGACAAAAAAGATATTTAAAAAAACGATCGTCTTTAAAAACCATTTTTTCGTTTTTTCGTTTTCTCTTCATTTTAAAACCAAACAATTTTTCCAAAAAGTGAAAATGATAAATGCATAGGTGCGTCTACAAGTCAAATAATCTAGCCGACAAATAATCACCATTCAAAGCACTACATATAAATTATGACATATAAACTAGACTAAAATTTGTTTTTTGAAATTCATATATTGCAATATTTAAAGGCTCAGTTTTGAATTCAATTTCAAATTATTTATGATTTGAGCAATACAATTATGAAGAATCCATGAAGAACCTAATGAACCAAAAATCTGGCCTCAGTCATGGTCCAGCAGCAGTGGGGGAGTGTGAAAAGAAAAGTCCCCTATATTTATGTTTTTACATGAAAACCATCAACAGCAAGGTGTTCCAAAATATTTTCCATCCAAAAATTCTTCAAAAAAACTTGCAAATTGTTTTAAAAGTTTCCATCTTTATTACACATACTGTATATCTTACACATGATAATTACGAGAATTAAAATCTAGATAATCTGGCATTGCATTACTCGTGTTTAACACGATGGGAATATGCAAGATTTTGCGCAGGTATCTTTGCCAAATGCACAACATACGGAATGAATCTTCAAGATCACTATAGATTGTGAAAATTAGCTATACCGCGAGTGTAACACAAACATGGGTCGTGAATTAATCATTTGATTTATCAACCAGTTCTCCACCATGCTAATTTCAACAAAAACATGTGTTTTGTTTGTTGGGATGTAAATGGAAAACCCAGCTCTTAACAAAGTAATGTTATTTTCTCTCTGATAAAATAGAACCATTGAATCCCTGAAATATTGGAATCATTGAATCCCTGAAAATTAGAACCATTGAATCCCTGAAATATTGGAACCATTGAATCCCTGAAATATTGGAACCATTGAATGCCTGAAAAATTAGAACCATTGAATCCCTGAAATATTGGAACTATTGAATCCCTGAAAAATTAGAACCACTTATCCCTGTTAAAATAGAATCATTGAATCACTGAAAAATTAGAACCATTGAATCCTTGAAATATTGGTACCATTGAATCCCTAAAAAAATTAGAACCATTGAATCCCTGAAATATTGGAACCATTGAATCCCTGAACAATTAGAACCATTGAATCCCTGAAAAATTAGAACCACTGAATCCCTCATTACATTGAATACCATAGGTTCTAATTTTTGTGCTAGTAGATGATTTCGATATATATTAGACAAACTAAAATCTTAATAATTTAAATCAATGCTTACTATTAGTTGATCAATACCCCAACTTTGGGCATTCTAATAAAAATACCAGTTTAATGTTCCAAAATATGCCAAAATCAGTTCTGCAAATAATTAATCAAAACAAAAATTATTAAAAAATTAATTATTTTTGGAGTTTTTGTTTATCTAATTTTAACATTATGCATTGGTTGGAAGGAAGTTTTTGCCACAAACTTAAATTGCATAATCTCTATATTCTTGCAACCTGATGGGGCAACCATTTGATATTTCAATCTTAGAAAATCATAGATCTGCAACATTGGGTGGCAAAAAAATTAGGATCATGAAAACTGAGTATGTGCCTTGAATTCAGTTCCTTTGTATTGTCTTGACTCTTGACATTACCATACTAAATCAATTTTGTTCTGAGAAAAAAAATTGAACAATACAGTTTTGTACAGTACATTACAGTACAGTACAGTACAGTTTAGTTCAGTAAAGTACAGTACATTACAGTACAGCAGCTAAACTGGTATTTTCCTCGTTATTTCTAAAATCATAAGGGGTTGACAACTGATTCAGGTCTCTCGGGTCCCCAAGAATATCCCTCCAGATCAAACTGAAAAATTTGAAATTTTCTCGATATCCATTTTTTACAGGCTATCCTTTTTTATGTATTCATAGGTTCCACAATGGTAAAAGAAGTCTTATAAAATTGTACTTGCCTTACACTATGCCAAATTTTGATCCAGAGAGAAGATTTATCCAAAAACGAATAAAAAAGGAAACAAAACTCTAGTTTTGAAATGACCGCTTTTGGATTGTTTTTCCCTTTTTTCTCTTTGAAAAAATTTAGCTTAGTTTATATTATCTTCAGTCTCCCCCTAACCCTGCTAGCAACAACACATCTCTGTGACTCTCTCTCTCCTAGCCTGATATCAGCTGACCCAAGTTTTTCCATTTATGAAAGTTGTAAACTTGTAATACAATTGTAATATCTTAATCTCTGCTACAAAATAAATATTTAGATCTAAAAAAAGTTTATATTATAAAAACAAACATTTAAAGAACACTGTTTAGAAATGTTTGAATCTATGTTCAAGGTATTTAAAAGTCCAGAAACCTAAAATAATCTACAAAAACAAACCCATTATTATCTACCGATATTATCTTCGGAGTAAGGTATTTTCTCAAAGGTATTTTTGAAGGGCAACTTCCCAAGTGACCTTTTTAATCAAATCTGCAGTTTTCGATGGAGGGCAGGACAGACTTGAAGTTGCAGCCGGGGAAAATACCCTTGGGAATTTGTTTCTTAAAAAAAAGAATTTAAGTAACCACCTAACATCTTAGCTAAATGTTTAAGACCTCAAAAATGTCAATGTAGTAGAGTTCAAAGGACATAGACACTAGACAGTTCAAAAACATTCAGGAGAATTTAAAGAGGTTACTGTAAACCCACCAAGGGTATTGTTTACTGTACCCTAGTTCAAGCCAAGTCTTATCATGAGTTGAGGACTGGACAAACAAATAATAATGATTTAACCCGTTACATTGCATCTGTTACCAACAAGGGAAGGAATTTTCTATGGAGCCGAGATTCGAACCCTGGTGACCCTTATCTGGAGAGCACGGATAAGGGTGCTTTCGTTGGCAGAGAAAGCAAACTGAACATCCATTTTGTGCCCCGGAAGAGGGTTAGTCTTGATGAAGGATCAGAGGAGAAAGGTCAATAAAATCTCCAGTAGCTCCAGGAGGAGAATTATCTTCATCTATGATTCCAGGATTAACTTCGGTTGATCCTCAGTTTGTATTTTAATAATAATGTAAAATAAATGTCTGTGCAAAGTTAGTGCTTTAATCGATTCCATCTGGCTTGTTATATTGAGTTTCTCTTTGTAAAGTTGCCTTTATTGAGTTCTTTATACATGAGTTTCTATTAAGTTTATA